GTGCCAACCCTGTTTACTGAATTAGATGTCTCCCTGGAGGACCCTCCACTGGTAGTAGCAAAACTCTACAATGCCCAAGATGGAACAGCAGGCCTCCTCCACCCTCACCTCCCACTTCCCCCACATTGCCCTCTCCCCATCAGTGACTCAGCTCCTCAAGCCAGAGTAACTGGATGGATGGGGAAGAGAGAAGAGAAAGGGAGAAAAGGGGAGAAGGAGATACGGGAGGAGGAAGAGGAAAATGTGGGGGAGAAAGAAATGGGGAGAGAAAGTGATGGGGTGGGGGAAGACACACTGGGGGAAGAGAGGGGGAAGGAAAGAGAGGGAAAGGGAAAGAGAGGGGAGGGAAAAGATGGAGAAAGAGGGAGTAAGAAAGTTGAGGCAGAGAAAGGTGGCAGGGGTGAGAGAGACAGCAGAGGAGAGACAGATGGCAGCGGAGGGAGAGAAGGTGGAGGAGAAAGATGGGGAGGAGAGATGAGTGAAGAAAGAGAAAGTGATAGGGGAGAAAGAGATAATGGGGAAAGAGATAAGGGGAAAAGAGACAGAGGAGAAAGACATGAGGTAGGGGGAAAAAGGGGGCTGGGGGAAAGCACCCAAAGTAGGCTTAAAGGACGTGCCAAGGCCATCTTCGCCAGCTCCTCTATCTTTAGATTAGCTAACACTTCATTGTGAACCGAAAGAGGAAGGGATGCTTGGATACCTTTTTCCCCACTTTCCACTTTCTGGGTGTCTTCCCTTCTGGCTCCTGAGAAATGTCTATCTTCAAGCCCACTTGCTGAAAAAAGGACCCTACCCCCACCAACCACTTCCTCCTTGCCAGAAGAAGCTGGCACACAACTACATTTCTTTCAAGGTGAAGAACTCTCTCACTGGCTTCTGAAGCAGAGATAGGACAAAGAAGGAGGTTCACCCTCTGTGACGGGTGCCTAAGGCCTTGGCTCCTGTCTTCCTCTACTTGGCACTAGGCCCAGGGAGTGCCAGCTCAGCCTACCCTACAGGGTGCTTATTTCCAGAGATCACAGTAGTCACTTCTGGATCTAGAGCGGGTGCCCACAGCCTTCTCTTCCCATAGTGCTCCCTGGTGCCAGTCTAGGGGGAATGGGAAGAGCTAGACCCTAGAAGGGTCACATCTGCTCCTGCTGGAACTCTTCCTCCAATAACGAATGAAATTGGGCTTCTAGAAACCTAGCATTCTTAGGCAGCACGGTGGGTAGAGTGTTGTATTTGGACTCTGGAAGACACTTAACTTATCTCAGCCTCAGTTTCCTCATCTGTTCAATGGGGATAAGAATAGCACCTACCTCTCAGGGTTGTTGAGAGGATCAAATGATATAAATATATGTAAAAGGCTTCATACACATTAAAGCATTACAGAAATGCTAGGCTTTTATTAGGCATACTAGTGAAGGGCCCTGGAATACATTCTTTTCAAGGAATCGTCTCAGCTTCTCCCTTTGCTCATTCCACAGAGGCATGACATGCATATTCTCTTCACCTGAGGATCTCAAAGCACCACTACTCATAATCACAGAATTTAAGAGCTATAAGGGATTTTCTAGGCTGCTACCTCCTTCCCACTGTCCCTAAATGTCCTCTTCAGGGTTTTTTGAGTGCAGAGATTCTGGGTCTCTCTGTGGCAACTGAGTATGGTCCTCGGACCAACTGAACCTAGAAATCTAGGTCGTGTGTGTATGTATGTGTGTGTGTGTGCGGGTGTGTGTGTAAGTGTGAGGGGGATGGACCACAGTTCTGAAGGGAAATCAGTACATCAACCTGAGAAGAAGCCCACCTGCTCATCTCATACCATCTTACACACAGTAGGCACTAGGATGGCATATGTTAGTTGAACTGCAAGCTGTCCGTCAGGGACTGGAATACAGTTTCATCTGTGTCTTTGATTCTCTCCTTCCTCCAGAGGAACCTAGGTGTCCTGAGCCAAGAGCTCAAGGCCCCAGCCAGAAGGTTTCAGTTCACAGCTTGACTTTTCAGACAGCTGTTCACATCTGGAGACACAGCTGATTGTCTCTATCCCAGCCCAGCTGGCCCTGCTGTGGGGTCTCTGGCAGAACAGGAGACTAAAAACTTCCCCCCAGGAACCAAGAAATCACAATTTCTCCACCCCTCTCATACATACCCCTCCCTCCCCTCACATATATGACCTAGATTTCTAGGTTCAGGTAGGTCTAGGATTATACCCAGTTGTCACAGAAAGATCCAAAATCTCTGCACTCAAAAGGATATTTTGGGGGCAAGGAAAAGGAGGTAGAGGACTAGAACATCCCTTATAGCTCTAAACTTCTATGATTCTGAGCAGTGGTGCTTTGAGATGTCCTAAAGAGAACATTTGGGGCAAAGCATAGAGTGAGAATCGGGTACCTAGAGATTTTGCTCATTTTCCACAAGGGAGTTGAGCCCTCATGGCACTATGATAATTCCCACCCTGGGAGTCAGGGGAAGGTATGTGGAGTCATGGACTGTCAGAGCCTTAGAGGAAGGGTCCTCAGAGATCAGATGATCATAGAGCCAGAACTGAAAGGGCTCTCAGAGGCCATCCAATCCAATCCCCTCATTTAACATATAAGGAAACTGAGGCAGGGATGTTAAGTGACTTGCCTAAGGTCATAAAATGGCATTAGCAATGCCAGTATTTGAACCCAGATCCTCTAACAAACACCAGGGCTCTTTTCACTGGATAACATCATCTCATCTGTTCAAATCTTTTGTTTTACAAGAGGAAATTAAAGAGAAGGGAAAAGCCAAGGGCACACAGACAGGATTAGGATCCAGGTCTGCTGACTCTCAGGTGTGGGAGAATGCCATTGAACTACACTGCCTCACGCTGAAGAATCACTGCTATATCATAAACTAAGGAAGAAGTTTTATCTGGGGTCTCCAAAGACAGTCCCTCGGAAAACAGAGAAAAGTGGCCCTATCACTTTTCAGGCCAAGAGTCATGAGGAGAACTCAGCAGTCCAGACTCTTCCTCAACCTTTCCCAAGTTTGGGCTAAGCCCTGGATGGAGCTGGGATCTACCAGCCAGGTCAAGGCTGCTAGCAAGGTTTGGACTTTAGCCACTTTCCAAGGTTCTCAGGAAGGGATAGGCCTAGGACGAGGCAGGGCGGGTCCGTGTGCTCCGAGGTAATTCCCTAAGTGCCTTCAACCACCACACTACTTCCTGGGAGTAGAGGTTAAGAGCTCTCTTCATTAAGGGCACCCAGCTCTGAGAAACTTGAACCCCTCCTACTTCCTTCCCCTACCTTAACAACGAACCTGATCACCCTGATCACCCTGACACACTCATCACCCCAAGCCCACCTCCACCAAGATAAAATAAAACAAAATAATAAAATAAATGAGGCAAACTCTGTTTGCCTCAGTTTCCTCGTCTGTAAAACGAGCTGAAGAAGGAAATGGCAAACCAGTATGTTTGCCAAGAAAACCCCCAATGGGGGTCACGAACAGTTGGACACGACTGAACAACAAGTATTCTACTTAAGATCCCAAAGCGCTCAACCTCCAGTAGGTCAACTGGGCAGCTATATGACGTAGTAGATAGAGCTCCTGCCTTGGAGTCAGGAGGACCTGAGTTCAAATTCGGTCTCAGACACATGACACTTACTAGCTGTGTGACCCTGGGTAAGTCACTTAACCCCAATTGCCTCATCAAAAAAAGAAAAAAAAAGGCAAATAAATAAATAGGTCAACATTACCACCACTGCATCCAACAAGGGACTCAGGACTCAAACAGCTGGATGTTATCACCTTCTCCCTCCAGAACCCTGACCTCCCTGCCCCCTTCCTTTTTTCTCAGAAGCTGGTTGGGGGGATAGAGAGGAGAAAAAGGAGAAAAAATACCATTTTTCCTCTTCAAACCAAAACAAACACACTCAGGGCTGAAGATTCAGCATGAATGTGTGGAATGTGGAGAAGATGCTGGGGAGAAGGAAGTGGCGGGGTTCCCAACTGTTTGAAGGTGGAAAAGCATTGGGATGCTTCCCACCACTGGAACCTCAAGGGGGAGCACATGGGTTAGGTCAAGGTAGTACTCCCCATCCAGGCCTCCATCTATCCAGTCCATTCATCCTGAATCAGAGAGGAAAGCCCTAAACTCAGAATCAGAGAATCTGAATTTGAATCCAGATCCACACACAGTACTAGCTAGTGTTTTTGGGGCAAGTCACTTCACCTCATCTGATAAATAGACGCTCTCTTCACAGGGTGACTCTAGCAAGGGCACCTGCTTTGTAAGCCATGAAGGTTCTATTTACACACGAGGAATCAATGACTACTTGGGTAATCTTGGGCAAGTCCTTCTTCCCTTCTCTGGCCCTCAGTTTACTCCTCTGTAAAAGGAGGGGGGGGGTTAAACGAGATTTCCTCTTTGGTCCCTTTCATTTCTAGATTTTAGGATGCTATTATCCCTGGACAGACCGAAGATAGGGGCTAGTGCGGTCAGAAATGTAAGGACAAGGTGGAAAGTGGGCAGTGAAGAGGGTCAACAAGCTAAGGATTTCTTCCTGACACGTGGCTGTTCCCTTAGGCCTTTTCCGTTCCCCACACCTGGGGGCTCAAGTCAAGTTCTCAAAGCCGGGGGGTTAGGCACTAGGTGCTCAGGATTAGGGGGAAAGAAGAGAGGGGGAGCGTTCGGGAATCCAGTCATTCCTAGTTGTGTCTCCAGGGTGTCCAAGCACAAAGAGGACCCCACCCCCTGCCTGTGCCTCAAGACTGGGAATTTTTCTAGAGGGGAGAGGCAGGTTGGAGCAGCTCCCGCACGTGTTAGGGATTATCTACTCTCCTCCCACCGCAGATCTCGCCGCCTCACCCCCCCCCCATCCCCAGCTCAAGCATTCTTAGTCTAGACCCCCGCTCTTAGGCCCATAAATCCTTAAACCCTAGGGGCGTTCTAAGCGCTCAAAGGAAGCTGGCTGGGTAGGGGAATGTTGGAGGTCCCTCTTTGATGTCCCAGACTCCCGCCACACCCAGCCCCCGCCCCGACTCACAGGTAGCGCTGCTGCCGCTCAGTCTGCCGGTGGAGGGCGACCGAGTAGCCGAAGAGGCTCCCAGGGTTCGAGGCCTCCTTCACCACCAGGAACCGGGTGTCCAGGTTGAAGGCGGAGGCTACGCGACAGCCGGCAGCTGCCAGGGCCAGCGCCAAGGCGCAGAGGGGCAGGCGCTGGCCACAAGGGGCACGGCGGACGCGGGGGCCCGGGTCCATGGCTACAGCCGACCCGGTGGGGCGGATGGGTGTATATTGGGGGCGCGGGAGAGGTGCAGAGGGTCAGATTCACCTGTTTCCCCCGCGGCCGCCTGCAGCGTAGCCGACAGTCCCTCGGCCAACCCCGTCAGGTGGCCCCACTTAGTCCAGTCAGGTGCCCCGGGTCAGTTTCACACCCTGTCCTCGCCGGGTCTTCCACCCCGGCGGGGTCAGTATCACCCCCTCTTCCCTTCCCCTCCTCCCTTCCCTCCCTTCACTGGACTGTGTCACCGCAGCCCGCACGGATGGACCCTTTGGCCCCCCTGCGTCTTTGGCCCTGCCCTCTTGCCACTTTCTCCCCCCTCAGGCTCTGCTCTAGCTGCGCCCTCCTCGCTCTGCCGGCTGTTGCTACCGATCCGGGCTTCGGGCTGCGGGGGCCGGATCACTGCTGGGAGGGAGCGAGGAGGGCGGGAGGGAGGGGTCCCGCGGCCCCGCCTCCCCCACGCCCAGCTCCGCACCTCCCCACCTAGCACGCCTCGGCCTTGGCTCCGCTTCTCTTCCGGGGAAAGGGTGGAGAAGGGCTCGGCTCTGCAACCACCTCTTAAAGGGGCAGCTGCGCCCCTCCCTCATCGCCCTCCTCCCCAAACCCGGCGCCCTCCCCTAAACACCTGTTCAGGGCCCCCCAAGACCTGACCCCGCTGTCTCGGGAGTCTGCTACCGGACCAACGGATTGGGACGTCAGGGCGGCGGAGGGGAAGGTGTCCTGTGGTTTGTCCTCGCCGCCGCCGCTGCGGCTATTGGTGCTGCCGCAGCGATAGTGTCCAAGCTCCGCGCCCTCCGAGAGGGGTCAGCAGACGGCTGGAGCCTTTCGGGGTTATCTCTCCTCTCAGACTAGGAATGTCCGGCTTGAGGGTTGGTTTGGATCCCAGTCTCGCCTGTCTCCTGGCTATTCATCCTGGATAAGGTCGTTGAAATCTCTGAGCCATCCTCTTTTGTAGGCGCGGTGAACGCTCAGTTGTCCCAAGCCTTGCTCCTTTCTGGGAGTGAACGGGGGACGGAACGTGCCAGATAAATGGCAGTAGGAATATCGACATTGATTAGTAACGAAATAGCCTGAAGGGCCCTAACAAAGCATCTTCCAGGATCTCAGAGCACCAGGCATTCACAGTCTGCCCTTTAACTAGAGGGAAACTAAGTCACACCTACGTTTCACACTCCCCCTTAGTGATATGGTGTCTAGTAACCTGGGAATTGGGTGGACTGGAGTCCGTGATCCTCAGCCTCTCTTAACAACAATAATAAACATTTAAGTACTTTTGCATGTTATCTCATTTGATCCTCCTAACTCTCCAAGGTAGGTACTATTATCACACAATTTTACAGATGAGGAAACGGAGGCAGAGGTGAAGTGACAGCCAGGTTGTTGTTGAGGCATTTTTTCGGTCAGCGTCAGGCTCTCTTTGACCCTAATGGGGTTTTCTTGGCAGGGATATTGGACTGATTTGCCATTTCCTTCTCTAGCTCATTTGATAGATGAGGAAACTGAGGCAAATAGAGTCAAATGACTTGCCTAGGGTCACACAGCTATTAAGTGTCTGTGGCAAGATTTGAACCTCAAAGTCCAGCGTGGTATCCACTGCACCAGCATCCTAGAGGCCTCTAACATAATTATAATTCTCAAATCCTGTTGGAGGTCATTTCTTCCCTTCAGCAGCCACCAGATAGCACTACACTGAATCCAACCCAGTTCGTGTATTCTCTCTTCTTCTTAAAAAGCCCCTCTTGAAAAGGGTGATCCCATTACCCTCCCTCTCCCATATTCCATTATCTTTTGGGGGCAACCCCACCCTGGACTTTCTCTGAATCCTGTAGGGTACTGACCTTTAGCCAAGCCTCTGAGGACTGGATGGGGAGGCTGAGCCAGGGAGCACTGTTGACACTGGGTGGTGGCTTCTATGCAGGTGGGTGGGTCTCCTAAGCAATAATCAACCACAGACCATTGATAGCTGGAAAGGACCCTAGAGATATCTCATTTGTTCCCCTGCCTATGAAAAGGATGGTGCCCAATCTTTTACCATCTCTTTTAAAACACCTCCTAACTGGTCCCCTCTCCTAACTGGAAATTCTCCCTTATTAAGTTATTAAGACTAGTCAAGATCCATTCCCTTACAGTCTTTGAGGACCCACAGTGGAGGGAGCAGCAGGCTCTGGACTCAGGAAGGCCTGAGTTCAAGTATGACCTTAGATAGGTACCAGCTTTGTGACCCTGGTTGAGTCACTTAGCCTCTGTTTGCTTTAGTTTCCTCATCTGCAAAATGGAAATAATAGTATCACCTACCTTCTAGGGTTGTCATGAGGATCACACAAGATAACAGCTGTAAAGCACTTAGCACAGTACCTGGTTCACAGTAGGCAGTTATATGTTATTATTAATTCATGGAAACTGATGTATCTCCAGTTGTTGGAATGATAAGTTACTGGTTGTGTGACCCTGGCAAATCACTTAATCCCTTTCTACCTCATTTTTCATTGTCTGTAAAGTTAAAACAAATAGTAACACTTACCTCATAAGGTCATTGTGATGATTAAATGAGCTAATATATGTAAAGTGCTTTGTAATCTTTAAAGTGTTAAATAAATGCTAATTATGATGATGATTACTGCTACTACTACATTTAAAGGTATATAACAAGGAGGGCAGCACACCTTTATCAGATAGAAAGATACACTGAATTAACTGTGTCTACATTGAAGGAGGGGCAGCTAAGTGGATAGAGTTCTGGGCCTGGAGTCAGGAAGAGTCATCTTCCTGAGTTCAAATGTGGCCTCAGATACTTGCTAGCTGTGTGACCTTGGGCAAGTCACTCAGTCACACTTGAGTAAGTTTTCCTCAGTTTCCTCATCTGTAAAACAAGGTGAAAAAAGAAATGGCAAACCATTCTAATATCTTTGCCAAGAAAACCCCAAATGGGGTCACAAAGAGTCAGACACAACTGAAAAATGACTGAACAACTACAACAAATTGAAGAAGATCAGAATGATGAGGGCTGGAGATGGGAGGGAGTCTAGAGAAAGGGTTCTTTATTTTATTTTGTATTTCCTTGTGGAACAGAAGGTGAGAATTGTACATGCAACTATGAGTTTTTATTATGTAGAGCTTGCTTTTATTTTTAAGTAAATAAAAATTCATCATGTAACATTTAAAGCTATCTTTCTGGTCCATAATTCCTTCTGGGCTTTCCTTCTGTTTTCTCTCTCTCTCTCTTTCTCTCTCTCTCTCTCTCTCCCTCTCTCTCTCTCTCTTTCTCTCTCTTTCTCAGGTAGAAAACCCTACCCCAGCCCCTCTCTCCTCACCTTCTCCCTCCTATTGAAAAAAAAAAATTAAAACAAAACAGCAGTGCATAGTCAATCAAAACAAATCCCCACATTATCCATATCCAAAAATGTAGGTCTCATTTTGCTTCTTGAGTCTATCATCTCTCTCAGGAAGGAGGAGGAAACATAGATCACCATAGGTCCACTGGAATGGTGGCTGTCGTTGCATTGATCAGAATATTTAAGTTTTTTGTAAGTTGTTTCTACAATGTTGTTGCAAAGAAATGTTTATGGAGGATGAGGTAAATAAAATTGGAAGCATGGCATAGTGGATAGAGTGCTGGGCCAGAGAGCTGAGAAGACCTGGATTTAAATAGTGCCTCAGAAACTTACTACCTGGGTGAATTTGGACAAGTAAGTCATTTAACCTCCCTAGGCCTCAATTTCCTCATCTGTAAAATGGGGACAATCATATTTCAAACACATCCCTTACAGGTTTGTTGTGAGGCTTAGATGAGATAATTGCAAACCTTGAAATGCCATATAAAATGTCTGTTATTATGATGGCACTGAGCCCAGTTCCCCATGTGACATAGTGACCACAGTGCAAACTGTGTCCAGGAAACAGAGCAAAGCTACCTGTTCTAGACAGACTAAGCCCACAGCCTTTGGCCCTTTTCGCTCTGTTGCTCCAGTCGTTGGCTTAACTATCCCAGATGGTAGGAAATGATATTACGATGTAAAAGGGAGATAGGGTCCCAACGTGAAGAGATCATTAGTGATTAAGGGGTCGAGGACAGTACTCGTATCTAAAAAGTGCTTTGAGATCTCCCAGGGTTAGGGTCCAGGCTACATGTCAATTATTATCTCCCCTACCATCCCAAACAGGAATGGCTGGCATGTCCGATCCCAGGGATGGGAAGTAGGAAAAGGATGAGGATTTTTTTTTTCCATTTCAGGAGAGGGAATAGTAGCTTTAAAGTTAGGGTGGAGGCTGGGACAGGGGAGTACTAGTCAAGGAGAGAGGAAGATTGGGAGTTAGAGAGAGGTTAGTTTTTGGAGGGAGAGTGACAAAGTCATGGAAAAAAGGAAGGAGAGCCAAGGAATGTGGGGGAGATCCCAGATTCCAAAGGCTGATGGGAGGAGAGGAGCAGCAGGGAAAGGCAGAGGGAGGGGGCAGAGACTGCAAAAAGAAGTCATGAAAAAAAATCCAGAGACCCTAAAGCAGTCACCTCTTTGTTAGCTATTGCTTCTCCAAGCCTCTTCAAAGGGCTGTAATCACTTGACTCTGTGACATCACCACTCATTGCTTCTCTCCGGGCTCGAACCCCTCAAACATGGTCTCTTGTGGACTTCTGTCATAGGCAGATGGGGTGCACTCCGGGGACACAGACAGAGACTAACAGACAAGGGCATATGAATGAATTTCCCCCTATGGACCAGGAGGGGATAAGGGAGGATTTCTCCAAAGAGGGAAATGGAGAGTAGTGTTGGGATGAAGGGGCAAGGACAGGGTTGGGAGTTGGAAAGGGAGGGAAAAACGGACTTCTAATCAGGGAAGTTGGAAGGCACGAGAAATTGAGGTATGGACGAGAGCTGAGTGCATGGCGCACTCTGTAATTGGAGTGGAGAATCTGAGCTGGGAAATTCTGAGGGATTAGGAGGTAAGAAGGGGCTAATTTGCATAAAACACTCAGTCTCTCCACTCAGTGCCTAGACTGCTCTCACCTCTCTTCTGCTTTCTGGCTTGTCTGGCTTTCTTTAAGACTCAATTCAAATCCCACCTTCTGTCTTTTCTCCTTGCCCTATCCCTGGTCCCCAGTGCGTCTTCCCTCCGAGAAAGATGGTCTTCCATTT